CGCAACCTCCACCTCCTGAGTTCAAGCAATTCTCCTACCTCAGCCTGCTGAGTAGCTAGGACTACAGGCACGTGCCACCATGCCCAGCTAATTTTTGTATTTTTAGTAGAGACGGGGTTTCACCTTGTTGTTGTTTTTTTTTTTTTTTTTTTTTTGAGACAGAGTTTCGCTCTTGTTACCCAGGCTGGAGTGCAATGGCACGATATTGGCTCACTGCAACCTCTGCCTCCTGAGTTCAAGCAATTCTCCTACCTCAGCCTCCCGAGTAGCTGGGATTACAGGTGTGCGCCACCATGCCCAGCTAGTTTTTGTATTTTTAGTAGAGACGGGGTTTTCACCATGTTGACCAGGATGGTCTCGATCTCTTGACCTCATGATCCACCCGCCTCAGCCTCCCAAAGTGCTGGGATTATAGGCGTGAGCCACCGCGCCCGGCCCAAAAGAGGGTATTCTTTACGATGTACCAAGGGGTGTGGCGGGATTTCTGAATTCCTCCTAGTTACCACATGTCGTCCCATAGCCCACCTCCACAGCCTGGGTGCTAATGGAACCCTTGCCCTGACAGAGACACTGGGGGTGCTGGCACGAGCGGTGGGGGAGCCCATGAGGCCACTGGCTGAGGAATGCTGCCAGCTGGGTCTGGGCCTCTGCGACCAGGTAGACGACCCTGACTTGCGGCGCTGCACGTGAGTGACCCCTCACCCTGCGCCTGCCCCTGTGTCCCCACCCCTCCTGTTTGCCTACTGAACCCACTGGAGTCCCCACCCTAGACTCTAGTCCTCTGGTTTGGACCATAGCCAGGTGTTCCTGGGCTTCCTCATCCTGTCTGGCTGTAGCAGGCAGGACCATACAATTTCTTGTGCCTACTTTGACCAGGTACAGCCTATTTGCGGCCTTATCAGGTCTGATGGGTGAGGGCCTGGCACCCCACTTGGAACAGATCACCACACTCATGCTGCTGTCACTCCGTTCCACCGAGGGCATTGTGGTGAGCAGACGGTGGGTGGGCTGGGCCAGGCCAACCCTGCGATGGGATTTATCTCCTGGGCCCAGCTGAGCCCAAGTCCTTGCCGTGCCTCCACTCCAGCCTCAGTATGACGGGAGCAGCTCCTTCCTTCTGTTTGACGATGAGAGTGATGGGGAAGAAGAGGAGGACCTCATGGATGAGGACGTGGAAGAAGAGGATGACTCCGAGATCTCAGGGTGCAGAGGGGTGCTTTTCTGGTCAGGAATCTAGACTTGGGTTTCAGACAAGGGCTTAGTACCTGATCACCACTCCCTCCCCATCCTACTATAGGTACAGTGTAGAGAACGCCTTCTTCGATGAGAAGGAAGACGCCTGTGCTGCCCTGGGGGAGATCTCCGTGAACACCAGGTGAGCATTTGCCCTTCCCTGGCACTGAAAACCTTGCCTGGGAGCCCCTTACCCACAGCTGTGTCTTTCTCTGTAGTGTAGCCTTCCTTCCGTACATGGAAAGTGTCTTTGAAGAAGTCTTTAAACTGCTGGAGGTGAGTGGGCTGGTGGGTGGGGTTCTCACTCTGTGTTCACAGTGCACACAGTAGGCACATCCCGCCCCTCCTCATCCTGCAGTGCCCTCACCTGAATGTGCGGAAGGCAGCCCATGAGGCGCTGGGTCAGTTTTGCTGTGCACTGCACAAGGCCTGTCAAAGCTGCCCTTCGGAACCCAACTCTGCTGGTGAGAAAGAGAGGCTGGGCCAGGCTGGGGGTTCTCGGTGAGGGACAGGGCCTGACAGGGGCTTCAGCCAATAATGTCCCCAGCTTTGCAGGCCGCCCTGGCCCGAGTGGTGCCATCTTACATACAGGCAGTGAACGCGGAGCGGGAGCGCCAGGTGGTGATGGCTGTGCTGGAGGCCTTGACAGGGGTGCTCCGCAGCTGTGGGACCCTCGCACTGCAGCCCCCTGGGCGCCTCGCTGAGCTCTGTAGCATGCTCAAGGCCGTGCTGCAGAGGAAGGTGAGCAGGGCAGGTGGGCTTTGGGAAGGAGAGGTGCTGGGCCCAGACTGGGGACTGGCTATAAGTCCACCCCCAGACTTTCATAAAAAGGGAAGGGGCATGAAAGCTCTGGCTAATAAGTTGAGCTACTTCTTCTTGTAGACAGCCTGTCAGGATACTGATGAGGAGGAGGAAGAAGATGATGATCAGGTGAGAGCGAGGGATGAAAACTGGGACCAGGCAGTCTAGGGAGTCTCCATAGGGACAGGGGTGGACAGTGTATTCGGGCTTGGACTGGGAAAGCCAGGGCCACTAAAAGAGATTGGTAATGGCCAGAGGGGCAAAACTCTGATACCACTATGCCAGTGGGAGTTCAGGGAAGGAGAGAAGTGTGGACTGGGGTATGCTTGGAGCAATAGGAAGCAGGAGAGCCAGGGGAAGAAGCTGGGCCATGGAAACACCCAGCCTGAGAGGGGTCAGCCCCGTCAACCAAGGGCAGCTCCAGGGACCCCTGCAGCTGGTGGCAGAGCATGGGGAGGTCTGCAGTCACTGAGCTGGCCCTGGTGCTCCGGCCCCTGACCTGTATCCACAGGCTGAATACGACGCCATGTTGCTGGAGCATGCTGGAGAGGCCATCCCTGCCCTGGCAGCCGCGGCTGGGGGAGACTCCTTTGCCCCATTTTTTGCTGGCTTCCTGCCATTATTGCTATGCAAGACAGTGAGTGTCCATCCTCTGGCTTCGAGCCCTAAACCACTCATGCACCTGGTGCCCACCCCAGCCTTTATCCTTGGCCCAGGCTGATTGTATTCCCTTTCTGTCCTCTCCTGTCAGAAACAGGGCTGTACAGTGGCAGAGAAGTCCTTTGCGATGGGGACCTTGGCAGAGTCCATTCAGGGTCTGGGTGCCGCCTCAGCCCAGTTTGTGTCTCGGCTGCTCCCTGTGTTGTTGAGTACCGCCCGAGAGGCAGACCCTGAGGTGCGAAGCAATGCCATCTTTGGGATGGGCGTGCTGGCAGAGCACGGGGGCCGCCCTGCCCAGGAGTATCCTTGGCTCATAGGAAGTGAGGGACTTGGGGTTGGGGAAGTGTCCCTAGGGCTTCTAGGTGGGCAAGTTCTACCTGAGTGTGTGGGCCATTCCTTGACTGTGGACCAGAAACTTTCCCAAGCTGCTAGGGCTCCTTTTTCCCCTCCTGGCACGGGAGCGACATGATCGTGTCCGTGACAACATCTGTGGGGCACTCGCTCGCCTGCTGATGGCCAGTCCCATGAGGAAACCAGAACCCCAGGTGAGGGAGGGAGACATCAGGCATGGCCTGGAAGCTGAGTGTGGTGGAGGGCAGGGCAGGTTGGCCTGAGATATTTGTGTGTCCAGGTGCTAGCTGCCCTACTGCACGCCCTGCCACTGAAGGAAGACTTGGAGGAGTGGGTCACCATCGGGCGCCTCTTCAGCTTCCTGTACCAGAGCAGCCCTGACCAGGTAACCTTGCTGCTGGCAGCCCTCAGAGGGGAGCATGCCACTCCACTCAGTGATAGGCACTGTCTGCTGATGAGGCTCGGGAGCTCCAGGCTGTCAGTTGCACCTGAGGCAAGCTGACAGTTTTAGCTGTTCTTTGATACTCCCTGCACCATTTCTTGTCTGCAAGGATTGGCAGCCAGTCCTATGATGGCACAGGTGGGACTTCCCTCTCCACGTAGCATTTTTCCTGAGGAAGCTCTATTTCTACCCTTTGGTCTGAGCCAGAAGTTGCAGTTTTCCTAGGCTGGTTTCCTAAGCCAGGGCTCTTTTAAACTGCTCTGTGGAGCCCTGGGTGCCTCTGGGCCACCATGCCATATGTTTCAATCAGATCAGCTCTGCTCTCTGAAGGGATTTTGCCTGTACCAAGTAGCTAGGTTTGGAGTCATGTTGGAGTGTTTGTGTCACCCTTGTTTTATACCTTTAGAGACTGTTGTGTAGGTGGAGCTCTTGGGTGTCTGGGTTTCTTTTTGAGACAGAGTCTCGCTCTGTCACCCAGGCTGAAGTACAGTATCATGGCCTTGGCTCACTGCAACCTCCGCCTCCCGGATTCAAGTGATTCTCCTGCCTCAGCCTCCCAAGTAGCTGGGATTACAGGCATTAGCCACCACACCTGGCTAAGTTTTGTTTTTGTTTTGTTTTTGTTTTTTTAGTGGAGACGGGGTTTCACCATGTTGGCCAGGCTGGTCTTGAACTCCTGACCTCAGGTGATCCAGCTGCAATAGGCTCCCAGAGTGCTGGGATTATAGGTGTGAGCCACCGTGCCCAGCCGGGTGTCTGGGTTTGTTTTGGTCTTGAGGTTATGACTCTAATCATCTTGTCACATATCCCCCATCCCCTCCAAAAAAAGTCATTACCACCAAGTTTCATTGGTCCTTCTCATGTTCATAGTTGTCTTGGATGCCTGTGAATCAGTACCAGGCAAAACCATCCCTGGTAAGACACTCTGCCACTCCTTGGTCTCGACCACTCCGCCTAGACCTGGGGTCCAGGGATATTGCCCTGAGTCAGCCACTCTTTCCTCACAGGTTGTAGATGTGGCTCCCGAGCTCTTGCGTATCTGCAGCCTCATTCTGGATGACAACAAGATCCCACCAGGTGAGGGTAGAAGTCATGGGCAGGGGCTTGGGGGAGGAGGGGTATGGTAGGGCTCAGAGGGCCTGGGGCAGCGAGGCTTTAGGAGCCCAGACCTTTCCCCCTCTCTCTCCACCCAGACACCAAGGCCGCACTGTTGCTGCTCCTGACATTCTTGGCCAAAGAGCATGCCGACAGCTTCCAAGCAGCCCTGGGCTCACTGCCTGTTGACAAGGCTCAGGAGCTCCAGGCTGTACTGGGCCTCTCCTAGACTGCAGGCTGCAGCCAGGCCAGAGAGAAGGAGCCTGCCCAGGCCTTACCACCACCTCTCAGCCCAGTTCAGTTTTGCCTTACCAAAGATTCTGGACCTCATACCCATCTGGCAACAGCCCTGCCTACTGCTTTACAGGGCTGTCCCTGAGGCTGGATCTGTTACAAATGAGTCATGACATCATATTGTAATAAAAGCAGTTTGTTTTCTGCTTGAACAATAACTCAGAGCAAGAAGGCTAGACATGCACATTCAGAAATGAGGCAGGCAGGGCCCAGTGAAGCACAGCATGGTTACTCGAAGTGGCCGGTTTCCTGACGGTTTAAATGGACTCTAACCTCGGTGGAATCTGGGCCCCGGCTGGATCAGGAGGCGACCATATGGCTTTTCTTGTTCTATGCGAAGAATCTGCTGTGCTGAGAGCACTGGTCAAGAGGGGAGGAGAGGACAGGTTGGGGGAGTCCGCCTATGGGCCTTTGGTTTGTGTGTCTCTGCCCCATATACACAAGACGCACACACTTACCCAGGAGCAGGTAGAAGACCCGGGCAGCCATCCTGCGGGGGCTGAGAGGTGATACCAGGCTGCTAAAGTCGGGCTCCCTGTTGGCCTGCAGCTCCAGTGCCACTGCCCTGTAGGGATCAAGAACCATTAGCTGAGGCTTCAGCCCCAGTCCACCCCCATCAAGGTACTGCCTCTCTGGTACCTGTGCACAGCTTCCAGTGAGAGTAGCTCAAGCTCTGGGGGTAGCACCAAAGGCATCTCCATAGGCACCTCGGGGACTTCAGGCACCATGGGCAATGCAGGAGCCTCTGGCTGCTCCATCTCAGCCAAGGCCCTAGGAGAACATGAAAGTCACAGCAGGTAAGATGGCAGCCGTGGCAGTGACAAGGGGCTTAGCCATCCTAGCAGCCATTTCTACCATCTGGCCCTGGCTCCCAAAAAGCCTGGCTGCTTACCATCGTTCTGGTGTGATGAGGCTGATACGGGACTTCTCCTCTTCAGCTGCCTCCAGGGAGAGCTCTGTTGAAGGAGGAAAGGCACAGGGGGGCATCTGCTTGGGTGGTAGTTAGGACCTTGTGGTCACCTGGCGTAAGTGGATGCCAGAGCTGTGCAGTGACTTGTTAAAAGCACACAGATGGGGAGCTGAGGAGGACCAATCTGCGTTCATGTCACGTACATATGCCTTCACTCATGAAACAGCTTCAGCAGTTGGGGTACTAGTTTCCTGGGGCAGTGGTTAGGGTGGTGGTCTCACTGCCCCTCTTTTCTAGGTGCTTACCTGCAGACACCATAAGGGGACCACTGGGCTCCCAGGCCTCCCTTGGGACCTGTGGATGGCAGAAGCAGAACTAAGATCCCAAGCATCTGGGACTTGGGCCTCAGAAGGCCCAAGGCCAGTGAGCCTGTGCTGTTGGCTCTTGTGGCAGGAGAAGGCAGCCAGCTGGGTCAGGCAGAGCCCAGCCTTGGGGCAATTCAGAAAACAGGTGGTACAGTTACCTCAATCTCACTTGGAGCTTCAATCCTTCTCCTTTCTTCCTCAGCAGCTGCCTCCCTCTCAGCAGCCTCTTCGGTCAGCTCTCGCCTGAGTGCTCTTGGGAGTGGCTGGGCACAGGAAGTCCAAAGGCCCAGTAGTTCAGGGGGTAGCCAGCCAGCTGTGGACAAGCGGGCAATAGGCACAGGGTTTGAGCTCTGAGGAGCACCAGGAATGAGGAATTGGTTTTGAGGATCCTTCGTGCCCAGCCCCTGCCATTCTTACACAGAGTTGGGGTTCTGAACAACTCCACAGGGCTTGTGATGGTCCTCTCAGGAGGCTGCACCATGGGCTGTGTGGTGAGGGAAGGCCAGAAGCCCATTATGAAGCAGCCACTCCTCAGTTCCCCTTTGTCTTTTTGCAATGCATTGTTCCAGGGCCTCTGGACTTCCCCAGCCTTTGGGCTCATGACCTTGCTTGCCCTGTTTATTACTAAATGGTGTATGTGAACACATGTCGTATGCATTTTCTGGGGAATGGAGGGGATTTTTCATCAAGTTCCCAATCCTCCCCATACCCACCTGAGGAGTTTAGAAGGCCCAGCCTGCACCTGTCCCTGGTCATCCCTGCCTCCATCCCTCCCCCAGCAAAGCCTGGGCTGCACTCACACATTCCCGGCAGTGGGCTCTGGTTTGTAGTTGTTTCCGGAATTTCTCCCGGGAGATCTGTGTCTCCTCGTCCCAGAATGGTAACTGGCGGCGACGGCGGCGGCGAGGAGGTGGGGGTGCCGGAGGCCTCCGCTGAGTGGGGAGGGCAGGTAGGGGCAAGGCTGCCCATTACTCCTTTTTCTGTCATTCTGGTGGACTGCTAACAGGGCCCCACACCCTGCCCCTAGAGGAACCTGGGGAAAAGGCTTAAGCAAGGTCTTCATGCACTTGTGCAGCTCATAACTTGTATAAGGGTACCCATCTGGGAAGTAAGTGCAGGCCAGATGTGATGGGGTGTAGAAAGGGACATCTTTTATGATCTGCACTAAGGCTTCCTGTAAGCTAGCAGTGCCCAGGGCTTGAGGAGGCAGCCCTGGGAGGGGAGGGCAAATGAAGAGGATAGGAAGGGATGCTACTCACCTCTGGGCTGGGTGGGGCTGGCAGACGAAGTTCCTCTGGGGGGGTCACCTCTGCAACAACACCCAAGGTTGTGGCTGTCCCATAAGCCCCTTACCGCTTGCAGACCCCAGGGCAAGAAACTGCAGGGTCCTCCCCCTTCAACAGGTTGGGATATAAAGCCCTTGTCTGCAGCAGTATCCAGGTAGTCCCAGGAAAGCACCCAGGGTACGGTAGACACTCACCCATGAGCAGGGCCTCAGGCTCCCAGCCTGTCGGCCTCAGCTCCTCAGGGACCAGGACCTGGACTGGAAGTGGCTCTCCTATTCCTTCTACCCTGAGGGGAAATGGGCAAGATAAATGAGGTGACCCTTCCGAGCACTGACTCCCTACCTGGTCTAGGAATTCCTGCCCTTACTCTGCAGGAGCTGGAGGTGAGATCCGGGGGACTATGATTTCACCCTCTGGGGCCCGGGGCTCCTCCTTTGCCTCTGTGGAGAGAGAATCAGAGTTCACAGGACAGAAAAGGAAAAATAAAAGCATTGTCCAGGACCAGACTACCCGTGCCAGGGGTCTGACCTTCCAGTGCCAGGCGGGCCCTAAGCTGCTGGAGACGCCTGGCTTCTAGCAAGATAGCTTCATCTTCCTCTGCAATCAGTAGGTCCAAGTCTCGGCGGCTGATCTCTGGGATATCCCGTTCACCCTGTCCAGAGAAGTGCAAGGGGAGGGGACTCAATAACATTTCTGAAAAGGCAAGTGGATCCAGGAGAGTGGGTCATAGAGGCACACCACAGGGCTGAGTTCAAGGAAGCCAGTGGGTGCTCAAGTACAGGGACAGAGAATAGGGAAATGGAGATGGAAAAGCCAGGGCTCTGGGGGCAGAGAGAAGTAGATGCAAGGGGGCTGGACCTCAGGCCCTGTGTACAGGGGACAACTCACCTCAATCTGCAGCATCCGTATGGGCTCTTCCTCCCGGAGCGTGATGGCCTCTGGGGGAAGCATAGTGACCAGAATCCTGTCTGGAAGGGCAGGGGAGTCGCCAGCCTCTCTGCTTCTTTCCAAATTCCCACAGCCATGCAGTGAGCCAAAAGCATGGACTCGAGTCAAGGTAACCTGGGTTCTAATCAGACCCAGGCTAGACCCTGGCATCCTGACCCTGGGTACACTGCTTGATCACCGTGAGCCTCACTTTCCTCATCTGTAAAGTGGGGAGGCTGGGCAAAGTGGCTCACACCTGTAATCTCAAGACTTTGGCTCATTTGAGCCCAGGAGTTTGAGACCAGCCTGGGCAACAAACATAGACCGTTTCTACAAAAAAATTTAAAAACTAGCCGGGTGTGGTGGCTCATTCCTGTGGTCCTGTCTACACTGGAGGCTGAGGTAGGCAGATTGTTTGAGCCCTGGAGGTCAATGCTGCAGTGACCTATGATCATACCACTGTACTCCAGCCTGGGGGAAAAAAAGGGAAAAAAAAAAAAAAAAAAAAAAAAAAAAGGCATGGTGGCTCATGCCTGTAATCCCAGCACTTTCGGAGGCTGAAGTGGGTGGATCACGTGAGGTCAGAAGTTCAAGACCAGCCTGGCCAACATGGCAAAAACTCATCTCTAGTAAAAATACAAAAATTAGCTGAGCATGGTGGTACACACCTATAATCTCAGCTACTTGGGAGGACAAGCACTTGAACCCGGGAGGCGGAGATTGCAGTAAGCCTAAAGTACACCAGTGCACTCCAGCCTGGACAACAGAATGAGACTCTGTCTCAGAAAAAAAAAAAATAATAATAATAATAATAATAATAATAATAAATCTGACCTCAGAGCGGGTGGATCACCTGAGGTCAGGAGTTTGAGACAAGCCTGACCAACATGGAGAAAACACCTCTACTAAAAAATACAAAAAACTAGCAGGGCATGGTGGCGCATGCCTGTAATCTCAGCTACTTGGGAGGCTAAAACTAGAGAATCAATCACTTGAACAAGGTAGGCAGAGGTTGCGGTGAACCGAGATTGAGCCATTGCACTCCAGCCTGAGCAACAAGAGCAAAACTCCATCTCAAAAAAAAAAAAAATAAAAGAAATCTGACCTCAGAGGACTCTTATAAGGTACTGATGAGGTTACATATATAAAGTGCCCCTCATCAGACGTGGTAGCTGACGTCCATAATTCTAGCACTTTGGGAGGCCAAGGTGGGCAGATCATCCTAGGTCAGGAGTTCGAGACCAGCCTGGCCAACATGGCAAAACCCCATCTCTACTAAAAATACAAAAATTAGCCAGGCATGGTAGTTCATGCTTGTAGTCCCAGTTACTAGGGAGGCTGAGACAGGAGAATTGCTTGAACCCAGGAGGCGGAGGTTGCAGTGAGCCAAGATTGTGCCACTGCATTCCAGCCTGGGTGACAGGGAGATACCATCTCAAAAAAATAAATAAATAACTGCCCTTCACAGGGCCCGGCTCTTATGCTCAAAAATGGTCATTTCTACAGCTCTTGGGCCTGCCTATGCCTCTCACCAGAAAGTAGGTTCTCTGCTGACCTGGCTTCCTGGGCTCTGTAGGCACTTCAGGAGGAATCTCTTCAACTCTTTCTGGGGACACAGCCTCTAAAAGATGTCGAATCTTTGGGGAGGGATTGCAAACAAAATAAAGGATTTAGCTTCAGCCCTCTGCTTTTCCACTTTCACAACCTTCTTCAACAATGCATGGTAATCTCCTTTTATGCCTAATTCTTGTTGCATTGACATCAGTTTGCAGTAAACTCACACACTATCTAGTCTTTCCTCAGTTCCTGCTCTCATCTCCCTCCCCAATCCGCACCCCAGTTATCTAGCCCTTATCAATTTGTGCAAGAAGCAGTGCATCCTTACCCTTGTGAAATGTTATGGTTGACAGAGGTGAACAAAAAAGATTCTTGATCTTAAGGTCTAGTGGGGAGACAACATTGTATATAACCCCACAAGAGTCAAGGCAAAGGGTAAAACAAGGCCTTAGCAAAGTGCTAAGCTCCCAAACTGCATTTGGTTCTGGCTGGACTGGGATAAATATTTCATAGAGAAGGGTAGCATTTGAGCCAGGTCTATAAGAATTATGTAGAAACTGACTCATAGAGGATGAGGAGTGACCATTATGGTCTAGGGAAACAGCACAAGCAAAGATGTGAATGTGGCATCACTGAGGAACAAGGGCCAAACTGGTGTTTAGGAGCCACAGATGCACAGGGGAATGAGAGAGAAGTCTGGGGATGACTAGCTCTAAACTGGGGCATGTGCCGGGTGTGGTGGCCTATAATCCGAGGTGGACGGATCGCTTGAGGTCAGGAGTTCAAAAGCAGTCTGAGCAACATGGTGAAATCCCGTCCCTACTAAAAAATACAAAAATTAGCCGGTGTGGTGGTACGCATCTGTAATCCCAGCTACTTGGGAGGCTGAGGCAGGAGAATTGCTTGAACAGGGGAAACAGGTTGCGGTGAGACAAAATTGCGCCACTGCACTCCAGCCTGGGTGACAGAGTGAGACCCTGTCTCAAAAAGTAATAATAGGCCAGGCAAAGTGACTCATGTCTGTAATCTCAGCACTTTGGAAGGCCAAGGCAAGTGATCACCTGAGGTCAGGAGTTCGAGACCAGCCTGGCCAATATGGCAAAACTCCGTGTATACTAAAACTACAAAAATTGGGCTGGTTGCGGTGGCTCATGCCTGTAATCTTTGGGAGAACAAGGCAGGTGGATCATGAGGTCAGGAGTTCGAAACCAGCCTGGCCAGCATGGTGAAATGCCGTCTCTATTAAAATTCAAAAATTAACCAGGCATGGTAGCAAGTGCCTGTAGTCCCAGCTACTCAGGAGGCTGAGGCAGGAGAATTGCTTGAACCTGGGAGACAGAGGTTGTGGTGAGCAGAGATGCACCACTGAACTCCAGCCTGGGCGACAGAGCAAGACTCCTGTCTCAAAAAAAATAAAAACAGGCCGGGCGTGGTGGCTCAAGCCTGTAATCCCAGCACTTTGGGAGGCCGAGGCGGGTGGATCACAAGGTCGAGAGATCGAGACCATCCTGGTCAACATGGTGAAACCCCGTCTCTACTAAAAATACAAAAAATTAGCTGGGCATGGTGGCACGTGCCTGTAATCCCAGCTACTCAGGAGGCTGAGGCAGGAGAATTGCCTGAACCCAGGAGGCGGAGGTTGCGGTGAGCCAAGATCGCGCCATTGCACTCCAGCCTGGGTAACAAGAGCGAAACACCGTCTCAAAAAAAAAATAAAAAAATAAGGCCGGGCGCGGTGGCTCAAGCCTGTAATCCCAGCACTTTGGGAGGCCGAGGCGGGTGGATCACGAGGTCGAGAGATCGAGACCAACGTGGTCAACAGGGTGAAACCCCGTCTCTACTAAAAATACAAAAAATTAGCTGGGCATGGTGGCGCGTGCCTGTAATCCCAGCTATTCAGGAGGCTGAGGCAGGAGAATTGCCTGAACCCAGGAGGCGGAGGTTGCGGTGAGCCGAGATCGCGCCATTGCACTCCAGCCTGGGCAACAAGAGCGAAACTCCGTCTCAAAATAAATAAATAAATAAAATAAAAATAAATAAAAACAATTAGCAGGATGTGGTGCCACGTGCCTGTAATCCCAGCTACTCCGGAGGCTGAGGCAGGAAAATCACTTGAACTGGGGAGGCAGAGGTTGCAGTGAGCTGAGATCATGCCACTGCACTCCAGCCTGGGTCAAAGAGCAAGATCCTGTCTTCAAAATAATAACAAAATAAAAAAATAAACTGGGTCATGGAAAGCCCTAAATGCTAATATTCTGTTTGCAGCAGGAGCCACTATTCAAATGGGGAACCAAGGAATGGGGTGACATTAAGCTGTAGGAATACTGGGAATAGATGGAGGAGCCATCTTACATCTAGATGTAAGGAAGCCCAATGCAGACATGAGAGCCTGGATTAGGGTCGTGACAGTGAGAACAGTGTGGAGACAAGTGGGGACAAAAGCTGCCTCACTTGGGGAAACCATCTGATCAGATTGGCCTCAAGTAGATAAGTATGGGAGCTTCGCCCAGATGGGTCCACCATGGCAGTCCCCCTGCACCATCTCCTGTGGGAGAGAGCTGTGGCAAGCTTCCTTCCCCAACCCCAATGTCAGAGTGACACAGGGATAGCACGCCCCTTCTGCATTGTCAATTTGTGAGTCTGGGGGAATGAGCCCTACCTGAGGGATATCGAAAGGACTAGGAAGTCTGGGATCCACAGACATCATCCCAAAAAAGGGATCTGGAGCATCTTCCAGGGTCTCCATCATGGCCAGGTGGTTAGGAAGCAGCAAGCTGGGTCTGGGAGAGAATGTAGGCTGTCAAGGACTGAGGCTGAGCTAGGCTGAGGCCAAGCTAGCAGGTGTTCCATCAAAGGCCAGGGGACACTCACAGCTCAGTCTCCATATCTATTCGGATCTGCAGCTGGGCACGGTGGATGCGCTCCAAGATGTGCTGGATGTCCTCTGTGAGCAGTGAGGGCAAGGTAGGGAGCCAGCTTAGCAGACAGCTCCTCAGCCAGCCCCACCTGAAGGTTCCCAGTCTTACCCACGAGGTACTGGCATTGTTGAGAATAGACGCGGATCACACCGATCTGAAGTTGGGCCGAGAGATAGAGGGAGAAGCGGGGCCGCGGCAGGCCGGGCTGCAGGGGCTGCACTCGTACCAGCACATAATTGAGGATTTCCTCGCTGGGGAACAACGCGCCCAGATCACCGCTTTGCCCAGGACCGAGCCCACAGCCTTGCCCACTCTATCCCCTAACCCACACCCTGCACCAGGCCCTCCTTTTCTGGGCCTTACCAGGTCTTCACCACGTTCACCCTCAAGTATTCGCGCTTCACCAACCGGCTGCCGCGTGTCGCTGCCAGCCTGAAGTGGGTGGGGAAGGTGGGAGAATGCGGATGGAGGGGAAGCTGTCAGTCTGGGATCCCGGGCAGTGCCCCCATCATGCGCCCATGGGCCTTGCCCTTACCAGATGGTGGCAAAGCAGCCGGTGTGGCGCTGAAGCACATTGGGATAGTAGAACATGGTCCCTCCGGCCTTTTACCCTCGATTCCACCAGATCCCTGTTCGGATCTGAGTTGGAATTCTTTAGGGCACAGAATTCCCAACACTTTGGAGAGAAGTGTCAGGTTTGGACAGGTGAGGAGGTGGGTGCACCCAGAAAGCCAAGTTAATGAGGCGATCAACAGTTGGCGGATACACGATTACCGGGATAACTAAGACGCAGGAGATGGGCACCCCTCTTTGTGGATCCACCCTTAGTGGATCCGCACGCCAAGTGGGCCCGTCGAACTTGAGCCTTCTGGGTTGGGTTCCAGGTTGGAGATGCGGAGCTCCGAGGGGACGCCTGGGCCGGGATTCAGAGCAGGTCCCAAGGGAGCACAGTGTCCTCCACAGCAGGCCTTGGTTCTCGAGCACTGGAAGCGATGTCAGGCCCTGGGGCCTTGCACTGGTTTGGGCGGCTGCGGTACGGCCCGGGCTGCCTCCCACAGGACTAGATCGCACCGCGGAAAGCCTGCCTTCCGGAGCCCCGCACTTCGCTGCTCACTAGATGGCGGCTTTTGCCAGGCCAATGGGGAACCGGGGTCGGGTTGGGAGCGCCAAGTACCCTGAGCTCCAGGCAATAGGGTCTCCTGAGACAGGCGGCAAACCAATCATAAGGACTCTGCGCGCTGCTGGGGTCCATTGTGAGGTGTCCCGACCAATGGGACTCTGGTTCTCGTCTCTAGTAACAGGCGTTCCTTCTTGGCCAATCAGCGCAACCCCGTGGCTTGCCTGGCAACAAGGGTGCCTCAACTGGTGGGGGAGGTAGGGTCACCTCGGGGGCAAACCTGCTGAGCCTCTTCTGGGTGCCAAGATGTACCTTGCACCACGTCTGACCTGAGGTTAGACCCCGCCCTTCCCCCAAATTCCACAAACTGACTTTGTTGCCAGCTAAGGCGTGTTGTGTGCTGCGGAGGTAGAAAGATGTAAGATGACGGCCTTCGAGCGGCCACAGGTCAATGAGGAAGAAGTCATTTTTTTTTCTTTAAGACAGAGTCGTGTCCCGGTTGTCCAGGCTGGAGTGCAGTGGCACTATCTCGGCGATCTCGGCTCACTGCAACCTCCTCCCCTCATCCCAGCCAGATTCAAGCGATTCTAGTGTCTCGGCCTCCTGAGCAGCGGGGATTACAGGTGCCCACCACCACACCCAGCTAATTTTTGGATTTTTAGAAGAAACAGGGTTTCACCATGTTGGCCAGGTTGGTTTCTTTGCTTTTTGAGATGGAGTTTCAATCTGTCACACAGGCTAGAGCACGGTGTCAGCTCACTGCAACCTTTGCCTCCTGGGTGCAAGAGATTCTCCTGCCTCAGCCTCCCGAGTAGCTGGGATTACAGGTGCCCGATAGCACATCGGCTAATTTTTTTATTTTTTAGTAGACAGGGGTTTCACCATGTTGGCCAGACCGGTCTCGAACTCCTGACCTCAGGTGATCAACCCACCTTGGCCTTCCAAAGTGTTGGGATTACAGGCATAAGCCACTGTGCCTGGCCACAGAAGTCAATCTTACATGAAACTCCAAGAGGACTTACTGGGGTCACTTCCTCAACCTGAGCAACTTAGGTTATGAGCATGCCACATGTGGTCCTTTCTCACCTGTCAGGGTTCTCCCAGCTGAAACAGACTTTAGCTTTGTTGGAATCAGCACATACTTCTCAGCCTAGAAAAGCCATATTCTCAAACAATTATTTGTGTAAATTTAAGTTGTATGGTTGTAATAACAAATAACCCTTGTCCCTATGCCTCCTACCTTTGCACAGCCATTTCTTTGGCCTAGAATGCCCTTTCTCTGCCTTGACTCCAGGGCATGCTTCTTCCTAAGACTTATCTCTTACTGTAGCTGAGCTGTCCTATCTTCTTAGTCTCCTTCAATTTGTGAGCTCTTGAGGTTGGGGTCTTCTCAGTGAGTGCCTTGCATCTAGCTCAGTAAATATTTGCCAAATGAATGTGCAGTTGTACTCTATTTACAACCAAAATGTGAAAGCTGAAAGGGATTTAGAGATCTAGTCCAAGTCCTGGCTTTACCAATGAGGAAACAGAAGTCCATATAGACTGTTTCAGACCACACAGCTCCTTCGTCCAAGCCTGCTTGGGAACTCTATGCTCTTGAATTCCAGTATTCCCAATCCCTATCCTATTGAGCTCAGCTAAATTGGTTTCTGCATGATGCTTACAAACTGTTTCAATCACTATACATAAGTTATCAATTTTATTTATTTATTTATTTTTTGAGACAGAGTTTCGCTCTTGTTACCCAGGCTGGAGTGCAATGGCGCGATCTCGGCTCACCACAACCTCTGCCTCCTGGGTTCAGGCAATTCTTCAGCCTCAGCTTCCTGAGTAGCTGGGATTACAGGCACGTGCCACCATGCCCAGCTAATTTTTTTTGTATTTTTAGTAGGGACGGGGTTTCACCACGTTGACCAGGATGGTCTTGATCTCTTGACCTCGTGATCCACCCGCCTAAGCCTCCCAAAGTGCTGGGATTACAGGCTTGAGCCACTGCGTCCGGCCATTTCATTTTTTTTTTTAAGAGACAAGATCTCAGGCCAGGCAAGGTGACTCACGCCTGTAATCCCAGCACTTTGGGAGGCCGAGGTGGGCGGATCACGAAGTCAGGAGTTCAAGACCAGCCAGCAGCCTGACCAACATGGTGATACCCCATCTCTTTTTATAAAAATAAAAATAAGAGACAAGATCTCGCTCTGTCACCCAGGCTGGAGTACAGTGATGTGATCATAGCTCATTGCAGCCTCAAACTCCTGGGCACAAGCAATCCTTCTGCCTCAGCCTCCCAAAAATTGTCAGTATTTGTAAGTGCTCCCTTTGGGGCTCAAAGACAATGAAGTAGGGCATCTGCCCTAACAGTGCCTGGAACCCAGTTTAGGAGAAAGGCAAGGAACACAGAATAGTTTGTTCATTAATTCATCCATTTGTTCAACAAGTATTTATTGGCCAGGCGCGGTGGCTCAAGCCTGTAATCCCAGCACTTTGGGAGGCCGAGGCGGGTGGATCACGAGGTCAAGAGATCGAGACCATCCTGGTCAACATGGTGAAACCCCGTCTCTACTAAAAATACAAAAAATTAGCTGGGCATGGTGGCGCGTGCTTGTAATCCCAGCTACTCAGGAGGCTGAGGCAGGAGAATTGCCTGAACCCAGGAGGCGGAGATTGCGGTGAGCCGAGATGGCGCCATTGCACTCCAGCCTGGGTAACAAGAGCGAAACTCCGTCTAAAAAAAAAAAAAAAAAAGTATTTTGGGAGGCCAGGTGCGGTGACTCATGCCTATAATCCCAGCACTTTGGGAGGCCGAGGTGGGAGGATTACCTGAGGTCAGGAGTTTGAGACCAGCCTGACCAACATGGTGAAACCCCGTCTTTATTAAAAATACAAAAATTAGCCAGGCATGGTGGTGTGCACCTGTAATCCCAGCTACTTGAGAGGCTGAGGGAGGTGGATCACTGGAACCTAGAAGGTGGAGGTTGCAGCAGTGAACCAAGATTGCACAACCACAGCTGTACTCCAGCCTGAGTGACAGAGACTCTGTCTCAAAAAAAAAAAAAAAGAATTTTTTGTAGAGGTAGAGTCTCACTATGTCACCCAGGCTAGTCTCAAACTAGCCACGGGGCTAGTCCTCACACTTTGATCTTCCGAAGTGCTGGGATTACAGGCATAAACCACTGTGCCCAGGCAAAAAAAAAAAAAAAGATTTTTTTTTTTTTTTTGAGACACAGTTTTACTCGTCGCCCAGGCTGAAGTGCAGTGGTGCGATCTCAGCTTACTGCAACCTCCGCCTCCCAGGTTCAAGCAATTCTCCTGCCTCACACTCCTGAGTAGCTGCAATTACAGGTGTCTGCCACCATGCCTGGCTAATTTTTTGTATCTTTAGTAGAGACAGGGTTTCACCATGTTGGCCAGGCTAGTCTCGAACTCCTGACCTCAAGTGATCCACCTACCTCAGCCTCCCAAAGTTCTGGGATTACAGGCATGAGCCATTGTACCCAGCCAATTTTTAAAAAAAAGAATTAAAAGAAAAATAAAGGGAGTCAAGGAGGTAATTTAGACCTTGTACAAAGAAGGTCTAGGAGGAATTTCATCAAATTGAGAGCACAACAAGGTTTGTACACCTCTGCACTCAGTACCTGATTTCTTCACTGCTAGTGCAGAGCCTGTATAGGTGCTTGGCTTCCCAGGATGATGGACAAGACTGAAGAGAAGAAGGGAGGTCCATGGAGGCAGGGAGGCTCAAAGGCAGTACTGAAGCTTGTCAAATGAGGCAGGAGGAAGGTCCTAGGAGGACTTATGCATCCAGATTTGATCCTGTGTGTGAGCCATTGAGGGTTGATGAGTGAAATCACAGGAGGAAGTCTGGAAAGCTAAGCTGGTGTCATATGCAGGAAGACAGAAGCTGAAGGCTGTGGCCTGGGTTGGAAGTAGTTTGCTGGAAGTGAATATACAAAAAAGTAGGTGTCAAGTGGCTTTGTGAAGAAAAAACTTCCAGTTTGGTAGTAAAATGAACACAGAGGAAAGGGAAGGGAGGGTCAGTCGATTTGGAGCCCTCACGTCTCATGAAAAGCGTGTTGGACATGGCAGTCTAGGCCGGAGTATCTTTTATGGGACTTAGAGCAAGGAATCCAGTTTGGGAGTACCCTGCTGGGGTGACAGTACAATTTGTGCTGGGGGAAGGGGCGCCAGGAACAGCAGGTACAGGTTTAACAACTCTTCTGACTCCTCTATTCTCAGACCCCAGGGCCTCTAGAATAGTTTCGGGTCACCCTCAAGTGTCTCCTCTTCATTTAGACCTCTAGTCTAACCCCAGGCCTGAAGTTGGGGCTCTCTAACAAGAACTGTGGAGCCCAGACTACCATGTGAAGTTGGTGGCTATAGTGCCTGGCTGAAGGCTTGGTGCCCTTTTGATGGCCAGTCCCAACCCTCTCCCTAATCATGGCTGCCTAGAGAGTAACTCTGTAGAGTGCCAGGCCCAGGACCCACAGGGCCCAGACAGCATCTTAGCCAGAACCTGTGGGCAGAAGAGAGGAAAGAGGTCTGAAGATGACAGAAGGAAGAGAACCCCAGTGCCCTGCTCATAAGTTTACATTTCTGTCTCCCAGAAAAATCAGATACTGATTCCTCTTTCAATAAAATTTTATTTTAAATCCTTAGTGAATAACTAAGAGGAAAATATAAAGTGCTTGCCTTTAGAGTTGGGAGGTCGGGGAAGAGGGAAAGACCCCTGGGTTCACACCATTTAGATTTCCCAGTCCCTTACAGACGAAAGAGGTTGTATATCTCAAAATTCAAAAAATAAAAAATTTAAAAAAAGAAAGGACAAAATATTAGCCTTGAGTTCTCCACCAGCCAGTGTGTGCGAGGATTTTAAGGACACAACTATCACATACAACCACTGAGAATTATTGCGAGGAGGACAGGTCAATCATGTGAAGAATGAGTCTATTTCAAAGGAGACAGGCAGAGCGAAGTAGTGAGGTGGAAGATGGGTTCCCCAGGCTCTACACCAGGGACAGAATGGCTGCCTCCTGCTCTGGAGTCTCCTCCAGTAAGTGTCGGGCAAAAGCCTGCTCCATCTGTATTGGAAGAGATGGAGAAGAGCGTCTCAGTGAGTGCATCAGGGACAGACACCACCCCCAGGAGCTCCTTCCCCACTGGGAGACCCCCTTCACCTCCTGGAGCACCACTGCCCCTACTCTCATTAGATAGGCGACTCTGCCCCTGCTCTGAGCTCACCTTCACCGTGATAAGATTCTGTGGAGTATGGCTGGGGCCACAGCTCTCCTCCCAGAAATTCAGTGTTACCTGGAACTTGGGTGGGGGGCCCAGGCCCTGGAAGTACCTGGCCAAGTCTGAAAGAGAAAGGGTCAAGGGTTGGAAGGACAAAAAGGGAGAAGAGAGAGGGCCACAGGTAGGGAGGCAATAGTGAGGAACCCATGATGGAGAGAGGTAGGAGGGGGGTCCACATGGAGACAGGCCAGAGCAGGAGCTGCAAGGTCAGGAGAAGTGCTCGGAACTAAATGCTACTCACCCATGTGCAAATAGGAAAGGGTGCCTCTGCCTCAAGTATGTGTTAGAAGTAGCAGATCACAACCTGAAAAGCTCTCTGCTGGGAGAGTTTAGAGTCCTCCCAGGCCACAGCCCTGGCTGCTAACATAGATGTGCCCAGACCTTTGCTGCTTACTCACACCCTCTCAGTGCTAGGGTACTCATGGCCCTGGGAACACCCACACGCTACACCCCCTGTACTCCTGGTCCCACTCTTAAGTCAGATTTAGAATTGAGTAGGAACTGGAACTGGATGGGAGAGAAGGGCAACCCCAGGGCATTCTTGGAGTATAGTAGAGATGGTGCAGCCAGGGCCAGAGGCATGATGTGTGCCAGCTCTCCCAAATGTGTGTATGTAGGAGAAGGCCATGAGGCTCACTCTGTGCCAATTCTTCTGTGCACCTTCACATAATGACTGCATGCTTCATTGTGATGGTGTTCCCCAAGATGTACTGAGCTCTACCTGAACCTCCTCTTCCACTGTCTTGGCTGGAGGAGAGCTGCCATATAGCTGCCAGGCTGGGCATATGGCCACACAGGATGTGCACCACACAAGTGCAGGAGTGCCATGCATAGTCTACATGGAAGATCTGCTGGCAAATAGGGTGGTAGCAGGACCCACCAAGTTGGGCCCGGGGAGTACTAAGAGGCAGGGGGTAGGAGCTCAGGTGCCCAGTGAGAGCATCCTCACCTCTGCAGAAGTAGGCAGTTCTGAAGAGCTCCACGCACTCGTTGCTGGGCAGCAGATGTGGGCCTGGCCCAGGTGGATCCTGGGGTGCATTCCAGGAGATGGGGATGGGGCAAAGGCGCTGCACGAAGAGGCCTCGGGGGTTGCTGGCCACCAGGATGCCCCTCTCAAGCTGACTCAGCAGGCGCTGTGTAGGCTCCAGTGGACCAGGCTTGGGGAATAGCACCTGCTCCATGCTGCTCTCAGAGCCTGAGGGCTCAGCCACAAGGCGGCAGTCCAGGCTTTGCACCTGGGCCTCGCCCACCACGCGCCCATTGTAGATGAAGGTGAGCAGCAGTGAGTAGTCTGGGGATAGAACAGTCTAGCTGTACCTGGTGCTGGAGGAGCATGCAGGCTGGTGATAGCCCCTCTCCAAGGGAACATCTCCACCTCCCCTCCCCTCACCAGCCAGGGGGCTTCCTCTCAGGTTTTCCCATCACTCAGGCAAGTAGCTAGTACTACTGAGTGATTCACCTGGGCTTAATGCCCAGGGTCCTGTAGTTTACAAGAAGGTCCCTTGAGACTGGGGCTCTGTTTGGCCCAAAGAAATTAGTGTCTCAGTGTGAATTTCCAGGAGAGTGTATAGGGTGGTATTTTTGGGAAGCAAGCTTTTTAGAGTCTGACCAGGTACGTGGAATTCTCATCACCTAGAAACAAGTGCCTTGGGCTATGATAATATGGTCACAGTTTGCTGTAAGCCCTGACTGACTAGATAATGCATGTACTGTCAAAGGAGGATGGCCTCAGGGGCACAGGGCACAGGAGAAAGTTAGAAATGTGACATACCGGACTCTGGAGGAAGCAGAAACTCCAGGAACACCTGATCCCCTTGTAAGGGGGCATCAGTTGTGTCTGTACCTGGAAGGGAAGCAAAGGCACTGGTCATTCAGAGTGGGGCTGAGGAGTCTTGGGCCAGAGTGAGACATGGTGGACGACACAAGAGGCAAGGCAGGTGGTACCTTCCTGTGGCTCAGGGCTGCTGCTGCTGCTGCTGCTGCTGTTGCTCCTGATGTCTGAATGGACTGCTCCCCTACTGGCTCCCTCCTCTTCCTGCAGACACAGTGTTTTTTTTTGTTTTTGAGACGGAGTCTCACTCTGTCACCCAGGCTGGAGTGCAATAGTGCAATCTCGGCTCATGGCAACCTCCAGCTCCCAGGTTCAAGCTATTCTCCTGCCTCAGTCTCCCGAGTAGCTGAGATTACAAGCAGATGTCACTATGACCAGCTAATTTTTGGATTTTTAGTAGAGACAGGGTTTCACCATGTTGGTCAAGGCTGGTTTTGAACTCCTAACCTCAGATGATGTGCCCACCTTGGCCTCTGAAGATGCTGTCTTTCATTGGCCCACCTCTCCCTCTAGTTACTGTCCTGCTGTCAGGCCTGCCCAATTCCCTCTCCATCGCTCACATTATTGAGGGAGTCCTGGAGCACAGAGGGACTGAGTGTACAGTTCTGCATGGCACCCTCTTCCTCTTTCCTCTCAGAAGACACAGAACTGTGCTGTCGCTTTGATGGTGATTTCTGAGTCCCTCCTGTGGAATTGTTAAGGGAGAGAGAAAGGTCAGGGTCTTGAGCAGGGACAGAGGGTAAAGGAGAGGTCTGAGGCAGTGAAGGATGGGCAGGGCTAGGAAGGGAAACCTAGGTAGCAGCCTCCCCAGGGCATGGAGAGGGCAGAGCTGTGAGAAGCCTGGTAGAGGCCCGCAGGTCTATCCTTCCTCCGCAGTCTGCTGAGGCTAGGAGTGGTTGGGCAAGGGGACACTCACCAGAGAGGGTTCCTGGTGGCAGCAGGCGATACACCTTGTAGGGCTCAGCAACATCCATGCGGCCCCTCTCAGGGACTTCCTCAAATTCAGGACTCTTGTTGAGTGCACAGCGTAGGCGAGTCTTCCAGGCAGCGGGGCCTCCTGTGTCCCCCTCCTTATACTTTCCCTTAAATATTGCCCAGGCCTAGGAAAGAAAGCAAGGGAAGAGGAGGCAGTGTGTTACAGGCTCCAGCTGCCCCTCCAACAGGACTGGCTTCACGGGCATGCAGCTCTGAGCTCAGAAGGCATTATGAAGGGTTTATACTCTGTGTTGCTATCTTGAAATCCCTAGGAATTTTTGAACAAGGCCTCTGCATTTTCATTTCGTACTGGACTCTACAAATGATGTAGCTGGTTTTCCTCTCCAATCTGTCCCTTATCTGAAACCCAGGCAGACGCAAGTACAGAGGGTAAGTATACCAGTGTATACACAATCCCTCACACAGAGGAACACTGGTTTCCAGGCCCTTTCACCTTGAAGAAGGCAGCATCCTGATCCTCCCGGAAGTCCTGCTTGCCTGCATGCTTCCAGGGAATCCGGAACATGGTCTTAGCTGCATCATCCCAGCACACTCCGGGGAACTGCCCGCTCTCCACTTGCTCCACCACCCAGTTCCGGAGTTTTCGGGTACAGCGTGCCCTGCCTGATGCCATCCTGGGGGATAAGAGGAGCAGGAAACATTAAAACTGACACTTTGGGAGGGAACATCTCCTGAGACCCATTGGAACTAGATTCTAGCAACAGGCCCTAGAGATCCCATCCATCTTCTCTTAGCTCTAGACACATTTCAACACCCTTTGAGACAGAATTGTTTCCTTTCTGCCATCACTAGCAATGACCCAAAAAAAAAAAAAAAAAAAAAAACCAACTACCCCAAAAACATTGTTTTTAACGTTCTAAACTGTGCTACCTGGAAGGAAACCGTAGGTACTGGTCTTAATTGTAGGACTTTTCAGAAATGCATTGATTAGGAAAGAATTCCTTTGGTGATCTGTTCCTGGTTAGAGCCCCTGTCTAGATTCCTGAGTGTCTGCAGAGGCAGGCTCTGTAAGATGCATCAGGCTCTTCTTCACCCACCACCCCACAGCCTATACAACCTAGCCTCTGACCCCCACCCCCCTGCTGGCCGCAGGAGTAGGTGGGGCAGGAAGCTGGGGTGGGGGTGGAGCTGCAGTTGAAGTGGGCAGGGCAGATGGCAAGGAATCAAACAGGGTCAACTGAGGCTGGGGCAATGAGCCTTCTTCCCTGAACCATCTGGCAGCAGGTCCCCCTGATCTTTGCCTACAAGGATCTGCGGTGCTAGCCCTTGTCAGTTGCACTCTCTGGCTCAATCTCCCACTTCCTGACTTACAGGTCTTCTGTCTAGCCCTCGGTCTAACAGACGGGTCCCTAAGACCCCCTACCCCCAATCTGGCTGGGCTTTCTAGCCCTAGAGCCTGGGCTGACCCCCATCCTTACCTGAGTTGCTGTCCAGGCTGTCTCAGGACTCAGACAACCTCAGCTTAACTCCTGGCTAGGCGGCTGATCTCTCCGCCCCTTTCTACAGTCCCCACCCTAAGTTTCAATTCTCCTCCAAGAACGGCTTTTTCCCAGAAATCACGTGGCCTCGAGTTGCAGGGCACCAGTGGCCACCAGAGGGCAGCAGTATCTGAACATCTAACTGTCAGGATGCCACTGTCACAGCAGGGGGAGCCTGCTCTGCCAGCTCATTTCAACCCTGGCTCATTCCCCTTCCTCCCTCAGATAGTCTTGTTTGTATCTAACCTTCTCTGAGTGACACTGTGGCTTTCCCAGGGAGGCCAGTTTCCTGGAGTCAGGTCTGGGGCCTGGACTGCTGTGTACACCTGTGCATCTGTGTTCCCCCACAAGGCCTGCTTGGTACACATTGGGTGACTTCTAATATCAGTCAAATTCAGTGAAAGAAAAAAAGGAGGCAGGGAGGGAGGAAGCCCAGGCCAGGTGGCTGGATGGGGAGCACCTCCCTTGACCATCCAGAGTGTCAACTCCTTCCTGGTCCTGAGTCCAGGGAGGGTTAGGCACTAGGTTGCAGGGGGCCCTTTTCAGCAAAGCTCTGTTCATCCCACTCTTTCCCTGGTGCCTCCAGATGGTGGCATCAGGAAGAAGGACTGCCAAGAAGTCTGGGTAGTAAGATGCCTCTTTATTGGTGCTGGAGCTGTTCCTGAGGGAGCAGGCCATGGGACCCTCATGGGACCCTTGCTCTCAGCTACTTCCTCCGGCGAGGGATACTCTGTCCCAAGGGCACCTCTTCTGTCAGCTTCTGCAGGAGGAGAGAGAAGGTAATGATACTGGAAGCCTGGGGCTCAGACACAGGCTGGGCCAGGTGACTTCTGTAGGGTGGGGTCAGAGGTGAGGCTGTACCTGTAACAAGCGGGCCTGGTAGGCAGGGGGATCCTCTCCAGCCAAAGGCTGGGGGCGTACATGTAGGTAGCGCTCAGTGGCCGTCTCCAGCTCTTCCATCTCATACAGGGTGGCTGGGTCCAGTGAGTGGGCATTGATGAGGCTCACAAGATACTCTTTGTAGTGTGCCCTGGGGAGAAAAGGGAGCAGAATATTTGTTCCGTTGGCTAATATTAACTGAGTATGTCTAACATGTAGCTGGGCTCTGGGACACTTGGATGAACAAGACTGACAACTCCTGCCTGTGCCCACATGGCCTGCTACTATCTATCCATGCCCTTGGCCAGAAAGCCTCCTCCCTCCCACCCACTGCAGGACCTACTGCTCCCAGGGACCCACTTTACTGCCTGGGCATGCCCGCACCACTTCTACCCGCTGCCCAACACCATGCCCGTGTCCTGCTGGCACTCACTGGCACAGGCCGGCATAGCCAGCTGGAGTTTCCTTGCCACAAGCTTCGTCCCTTAGCCCATTGGGAACCTCTTTCTGCTCCATCACTCGGCAGCCACCTAAAATGGTGAAGAAAGAAGGGAGCCTCTGTTGAGAGGTCAGTGACTACAAAGCTCCAGAACTGGGATATCCACAAAGCAGGGAAGGCAGCCTTCAAGGAGGGGACTACAGCAACTCCTACTTTCCCAGTGGTGCTGGTGGGTTACTTAGAGGTGCCATCAGTGGGAGACCATCTGATAGAGAGGGGACCATTTGATACAGAGGCAGGAAACTTGTCCCTACTTTTATCCAAGCTGGCTTTTGGCTCATAAACACACACCCTCTTGAGACAGTTTTTTGTTTGTTTTGCAGGGGTTGTTCTTTATCTCTTGCCTAGTTAACTTATTCTGTGAAGGTCTTACCTTTAAAAAAATTAATTAATTAATTAAAAAAAAATAGAGACAGGGTCTCACTATGTTGTTCAGGCTGCTCTCAAATTCCTGGGCTCAAGTAATTCTCTTGCCTCAGCTTCCCAAAGTGCTGGGATTGCAGGTGTGAGCCAACCATGCCTGGCTAATTCTGTGTTTTTTTTTTTTTTTTTGAGATAGAGTTTTGCTCTTGTTGCCCAGGCTGCAGTGCAATGGTGCAATCTCAGTTCACTGCAACTTCCACCTCCCAGGTTCAAGTGATTCTCCTGCCTCAGTCTCTCAAGTAGCTGAGATTACAGGTGCCCGCCACCACACCCGGCTAATTTTTTTGTATTTTTAGTAGAGATGGGGTTTTACTTTGTTGGCCAGGCTAGTCTCAAACTCCTGACCTCTGATTCTACCGATTTCAGCCTCCCAAAGTGCTAGGATGACAGGTGTGAGCCACCAAGACCGACTACCTGTATTTTTAAAAAAATAAATTTAAAGCCTTTATACAAATGGGGAGCCAAAAATAAATAAAAATAAATAAATTTAAAGCCTACAGCATCTGGTATTCCAAGGCAATCTCTCATCCAAGTACTAACCAGGCCCAACCTTGGTTAGCCTCCAAGATCAGTCACATTCAGGATGGTATGGACTGTAGACTTACCTCTGTCTATTAAGAAGTGAAAGAGGTTAGAACTATATGCAACACCTTTCTGTTGCCCTCATGGAACCTAAAACAGCGCCCTGCAACTAGCAGGTCTCACTAAACACTCATTGAGTTAATTAATGAATTATGATCACTTGGGAATGGGAGAAGAAAATTAGTATTAATACCTTCCCGGGTACCAGGTCCTTTAAAGATGTCTTAGTAAAATGGCTTAGCTGCAAGGTGGGTATTACCCCCATTTTACAGAGGAAGAAACAAGTCCTGGAGTCTCAATTAACTTGCCAAAGGGCATGCAACAAGTGACCCTACTCCCAAGCCTCCCCTTCAGCCATCACAGAGTGGGAGCCCAGCACATCCTCCCCACTCTCAAAGGCCTGTCCTAACACTCACCTCCAGGGACTGCCCGGGCCCCAGCTGGAGGCTCTGTATTAAACATGATGTTATTGTCCTGAGGAGAGACAGATGGGTGTTATGTTCCCCTTGATGCCAATGCCTGTTGCACTTCCTAGCATGAAGTCTTTTCCATTCTTGCCCACCCTGGGCCCTGCCTTCTTCTCTCCTGGCCACGTCTGACCTGTAGCAGCTTCTGGAGCCGAAGAGCAGTCCAGTCCCGCAGGTAGAAGAGGCAGTCTCGAGGGTGGTGGCCGTGCAGGGACTTTTTCACCCTGCAGTTAGGCTCTGGACATTTCTGACAGAAACCCAGATGGGAGAGAGGAAGTTGGAGACTGTTGGGGTCCTGGCCTCTCAGGAACCCCTGCATGAAGGATGTAAGGGTGAAGGGAGACGGAGACATTGGAGGGTCTAAAGCAAGCAAAGGGTAAGGGGATAGAGAGTTGTGCTTTACATCCCACTGACCTCCTCTTCTCTTCCCCGGGGCCACTCTTCAATGGCCTCTGCCTCTCAAACCCAATGGGAGCCTCCTACCCTTCCATCCCTCCCCCAACTCTCTGGGCTCACATTCTTGGCGTAAAAGGCATTGTAGCAGCCGCTGCAGAACTGGTGGCGGCACTGGGTGCAGTGAAAGTGCATGCAGCCTCCCCGGGCCAAGGCATACGAGAACTTGCATTTGGGGCAGTCTGCAAAGGACAAGAGGTCAGGGCTGGGGCTGCCACTGCAAGTCAAGGCCCTCAAGAAGAGAGCTACTGACAATTACAGGCTTCTGAGCAAACAGGCCAAGTGGGACAGCCTTACCAATGCCATTTTCCTGAAGATACATTGCTAGGCCCTGGGCCTGGTATTCTGGGTCGTTCATGCGTTTCCAGTTCTGGAAATCCTCACAGCTCCGACCTCGGTGCTGCTCCTCCCACTGCCAGAGGGAAAGGAGGCTTCACATGGGAGCTCTATCCCATACCCTGGGCCCTTCTTGCTGGCCCATCCACTGACATCCAGTGGTCCACAGCTTGGTTTATGTCACTGCCACCTACCATTTGCTCAAATCTCAAAATGAGGGCCATCCTTGGTTCTTTCATTTTCTCATACCACCTCACATTCATTTTGTCTTGTTTCTACCCCACAAGTCCATCTCAACGCTGCCTCCTTTTCCCTCATCCCTACTGCTACCACTTTACTGCAGGCCACCATCAGAACTTGCCTCAATTGCTTGCCCTGGTTACTACTATCTGTTTCCCATTTCTGCTCCTCTATGGTCGATTCTTCCCATGGCTGCCAAAATGCCTTCAAAACTGTAACTCAGGTAGCTTCCACGGTATTAGTGGTCTAGTTTTGTGGTTTGGTGGTAGTCTCAGGTGCATTTTGTTTCATACATGATGCAGATAAATTTTTTTTGGTATCAAACATCATACTTTTTTTTTTTTTTGAGATGGAGTCTTGCTCTGTCACCCAGGCTGGAGTGCAGTAGTGTGATGTTAGCTCATGAAGCCTCCATCTCCTGGATTCAAGTGATTCTTCCACCTCAGCCTGCAGATTAGCTAGGAATACAGGCACATGCCACCATGCCCAGTTAATTTTTGTATTTTTAGTAGAGACAGGGTTTCATGACATTGGGCAGGCTGGTCTTGAATTCCTGACCTCAAGTTATCCACCCACCATGGCCTCCCAAAGTGCTGGGATTAGAAGTGGGAGCCACTGTGCCAGCCAAACATTACACTTCTTAAAAGATAAATGTGGCTGGGCACAGTGGCTCATGCCTGTAATCCCAGTACCTTGGGAAGCTGAGGCGAGGGATCACTTGAAACCAGGAGTTGGAGGCTGCAGTAAGCTGTGACTCCGCCAGTGCACCCTAGCCTGGGTGACAGTGAGACCTTGTCTCTAAAAATAAATAAATAAATGAAAGATAAATGAGATAGTACCACCCCTTGTTTTATTTCAGAATGAAGGCACCTGCCTCACTTGGCCTCCAGGGCTCTCCAGACCTAGCAGCTGGCTTCTCTCTGACTACCTGCCACTCCTGCCTTGCTTTCCAGGCTCCAGCCATACACTTTTTTCTGACTCTGGCCTTTCCATGCGTTGTTCTTTCTATTCCAAATACTCTTTGCATGGCTGGCTTCTTTTTAACTTTTAGGCCTGAGCTTAAACCATTTTAGAGAAGACTTGTGTGACCTCTCTACCCTAAGTATGTCCACTCTGTTACTCTGATCTCCGGTTCCTGTTTGTTTGTTTGTTTGTTTGTTTGTTTTTTGAGACGGAGTTTCGCTCTTGTTACCCAGGCTGGAGTGCAATGGCGCGATCTCGGCTCACCGCAACCTCCGCCTCCTGGGTTCAGGCAATTCTCCTGCCTCAGCCTCTTGATTAGCTGGGATTACAGGCACGTGCCACCATGGCCAGCTAATTTTTTTTTGTATTTTTAGTAGAGACAGGGTTTCACCATGTTGACCAGGATGCTCTCGATCTCTCGACCTCGTGATCCACCCGCCTTGGCCTCCCAAAGTGCTGGGATTACAGGCTTGAGCCACCGCGCCCGGCTCCTGTTTGTTTTCTTCATAGAACTTATGCCTATACACAATTAGTTCCTCTCTGGCTGACTTTCTTTCCTTTCTTCCTCCTCCCTCTGCTTTCCTTTCCTTTCCCTCCCTCCGCTTTCTTCCCTTTCTCCTTGTGCCTGTCTTTCTGACTAGTCTGTAAGCTCTTCTGCGCTCAGAGCTCATGTCTACTTTGCTCTCCAGTACACAAACTCCCGAGTCTAATACAG